AAAAGGGAAAGAACTCATGGACATGAACAACAGTGTGGTAATTGCAGGAAGAATTGGAGGTTGAAGAGGAGGTGGGGAGAACTGGTGATGGAAAAAAAAGAGAAAAAGTAAGTAATGCTTCAACAGCCTTAAATTCTTTTTTTTCCCTGCTTCTTTTTGGGACCAATTCAGTGACTCCCAGTATCGTGGGAGAGCAGGTGGTCCAAGGGTACAACTCCTTGCTTAGAATTCTATTTTCAGGATTTTCATTACACTATGGGGAGACAGCCTAGACTCCACAGATGGTCACAGGGGCATAACCCATATATAATCCAGTCATTCAGGTGACTTCAAGGGGGCATATTATTTACATCATTCAATGTGGAAGAAGTTGCCATAATTGTGGACTCCCCTGGTGTGACTAAAACGGAAATTTGCTAAACCTCTCTGGCAGCTTACTTCTCAGAATAAGGCTGGTTGGAATTCTATAAGATCATCAAGGTCAGTGGATATTTCTTTGTCCTTCAAGCAAAATGGATATTTGTCCCAGAGGGTGATTTCAGTTTGATCCATCTTGAGCATAATAGCTGAGGAGGATTTGGGTATGTGCATGGAAAAAAATCGATGAAGGTAGAGGCAGAAAGCCTGGGAGCAGGACTATTGCCACGGTCAGACAATTGGAAGGACTAGCGATGAGTGATGACCAGGACCCAGAAAAGGGATGATGGCGTCAAAGCCAGTGAGTGGCTTGGCAGAGAAAAAACTCTAGGACTCCCAGCCAGTCAGCTGAATATGGAATTCGGAGAATGAAAAAGTCGATTCAGAGGTGGTCCTATAAAACATGTGCAGAAGCTATTTTAGAGTAAATAAATGTTTAAGCTCAGTTAGAAAAACTCTCTAATTTAATGGGTGTTCTACTTTATTTTTTCCAAAATGAAAATAATCCATTTAAGGAGAGCGATTGGTCCTTTTACTTGATGGTTATGATGAGCCATTTTCACAATGATCAATTTTACTTTGAAATAGTGCAATTGCATAAAATAGCACGCAATTCCAGTGATTTCATTAGCTACTCCCACAGAAAGGAAGCCAAGCTACTCAGACTCCAGCCCACATCCAAGTTACTACACCTTCCAGGCAATAGCTTGTCCTCATCCGGTGTCAGTAGGCAACCTCCTGAGTATCAGTCCTGAAACTCAGCTTGGGAAGCGTGCAGGCATCACATCGAAAGAAACTCTCCACTTGAGACCCACAATAGCTTAGATAAGTTTCTGGGCTCGGGTAGGCTTCCTGCTTCATGGAAGGCAGCATAAATAATGGCAAGACCTCTTGGTCGTGGATTTTATGGCACAGGCACCAGCAAATGCCATGTGCAACTGAAGGTCCATACAGTCATAAAACTAAGCTTAGTCATAGTAGAAACAATAATGAATACATGGAAATTCTCTGGTACCTTATCTCTGTTGGTGATAACTATACATATACAGATGATTGGGATGTTTCTAAAATGTTTTCTCTTTTTTAAACCTATGCAATATATGTGTGTATAGTATACAGACACATATATGTGTACAAATATATTTCTATGTGTTTGGGGTGGGCTGGCATATGCACAGAGTATTACTGATAGGACATACAAGCGGCGATGTCTATATGTTTATTAGGTAAATACTATTGATCGCCAGAAAGTGGGGTAGAAGTCACTACACCCTGGGCTTTGCCTGTGATACTCATCTATGGTCTTAGAACCTTTTATAAAAAGCAGGTTCTACTTTCACAGCTTAAAAAATATATATTTTTAAATAAAGTTGGCATGGGAAAAAAATAAAACTGCTGCCCCACATTTTCTATGACCTGGATATTTTGAGAATCTAGTAAATAAACTTCAGAAATCCTCTCAGCAAAGAAACTGTCACTTGGTCCAAATGAAAATTAACTACCTGTTGAGTATCTTTCAGGGCAAACAGACCTGCCTAAGCACCGAAGCCAGCGATTATGAAAAGACGGGGAGCCGTGGGGGTCGTGAGGATTCCCATCAGTCACCACTCATTTCACGACTGTGCTTGCCAGCTCCATTCCGTTTCAGGAATTGCATCGGATTTAAGGTTGTAACCTCCGTAGAGGTAACGGGAGCGCTCAGAGAAATCCCCAGCCATGGTGCTTCTTTCCTCCTTGGCTTCTGTGCTTTGTCACACCCTTGACTGGGACAAAGCACAGCTTAACTGGGTTCTATTTTATTAGTTGTGTAAAACTGGAACATAGGGCTTCAAAAATGACTATCATGTTGCTTTTTAATAACTCTCCATTTCTCAGCCCTCTATCCGGCTAATCTAAACAGGGAATCCAAAGGCAGACAGGCCCCAGCTCATGTCAGCTGAATGTTGGCCGCTCTCAGCAGTAGTCTCAGTGGGTTTTGTAGAAAATTATATTTCTACAGGTATATAGTTTTATTGTCTTGTAAATGTGGCTTTTCAGACCAGGGACAGCCTCTTTGCCTCTATTTTTCCTGAGGGCCCATTAAAAGGGGGATACCATATACCTAAGCTGAGTTGAAAACTCCTGGAGCATAGGCCCTCCGCTCTTTCTAAAGCCCAGGACTGACCCATGCAATGATCAATTAAAAAATAAAATGCTACAGGAGGCAGATGCAATATTGAAACCATTAAATATGTAACTGTTTTTGCTCATTTTTAATGTTTTTCTTTTTAAGCCCAAGTCCTGGGGGTGTTTGCTTTTCTCAAAGAGATATTCGCCTTGGTCACGTATCGTTCTCCACCAATAATGTAGGACTCTAAGACTTTTTTTTTTTTTGGAACGATTTCCAAATGTTCCAAGACTCCTACAGCAGTCAGTACATCATCAATTTTCATTCCGGGGGTTGACTTGTTACTTCACTTGGAGCTATTTGAATTGGCCCCTAGCCACCTGTACCCTAAATTTTCTCTGGGCTGCTTTGAAGCATTACAGAGAAATATGAGATGGTAGTTGGTGAAAATAGTCCTTCATCCCAGCAATGGCAGCTGGGTAACTGACTGCATGGCCAAGTGTTTGGCTCAATCTAGGGAATGGAAGGCACCATCCAAAGCCAGATTTCAGTCTGTTTGAAGGATTATATTTCTGTCATCACAACATCTCCTGGACAGTTCCACCAATTGAAAAACTCCCAGCAGAAGCCCAGTGATTAAATTCTCCTGGAGCATAATTTTTTCCAGCTTCTGGAAACAATCTACTGCAGCTCCTCCTCCCCTCACCATAAAACCCAAAATATAGTTCCATTTCTAAGACTGATCTATGGAAATAGATTACTCGCAACCAACCCTTCCTCCCACAGCTGAAAATAATGCCAGCCGTTTGATTTCGAAACGACTAAGCCCCATCCACTGAGAGGTTATTCCTACTTAACAGTACATCATATTTGTACTTTCAAAATGAGATGTGACCGAAATGTGATTCAGATCAGCAGCACGTCGCTGCTGGACCTTTAAATTAAACATAGAGAAACAATTGTGTGCGCTCACATGCAGAAATAGTCAGAAAGCATGATGCTTATGTCTGAGAGTGAAGCAAAACCCTCGATCACCCACTTTCATTTCTGACTTACACCCAAGTCATGTAGACATTTCCACCAGAAATTGGAAGTCTTTGTCTCCTAATATTGTAATTGTCACAATGTCCCTAATAGAAGTACCTGTAAGTTTCAACTGCTCTGTGGCAGGATTAGAAGCTACAATTCCACTGCCAGAGAAACATTCCTGGCTGCGCTCCCACAGAGGTTTGTACTAAGAACTTTCTAGCAGAAGAAAATAGAGAAAATAATAGATTACCCCGTACATGTAAAATGGGGCTATAGTGCTATCAGGTATGACCTTGGGAGCTGACCAGGAGTAGGTGGAGGCATCCATCAGAAAGGGCCACACATCCTGGAAATCTGGCAGTGAAACTCACACAGCAAGGCTTTGTCCTTGGCATAGGGCGAACGTGGGGTAATGAAAACCAGAAACTTAGAAGGAAAACCTAAATGGGCCCCTCTCACCACTGTACCCAAGAGTCTGTACTTATTAGCCTCTGTGCAAAGTTCCAGTGACTGTTTTCTTACTTAAGTGAGTTATTTTGACATATGTTGCTACTTTTGCTTCTGCTGTTTTATTTCAAGTCCATTAGCCTGCTTTCCATTATCACTCAAAAAAGCCTAGAAGTGAACGCTGGCACCGAGCTCCATTTCCTGTAGCCACAGTTCCCACACGTGGTTTTTTTTGCTCTGCAGTTGAAACAGCACTTAAAGTTAAGTGCTTCTGCAGACTAGCTACAGGCCTTGGCTTAGTCCGTCCATTTCCTGTAGCCACAGTTCCCACACGTGGTTTTTCTGCTCTGCAGTTGAAACAGCACTTAAAGTTAAGTGTTTCTGCAGACTAGCTACAGGCCTTGGCTTAGTCCATTGCTCACCTCTATTGCAGCAAAAGGCAAAGATGGCTACACCTGGGCAGTACGGAGCTGTCCAAACAGCCCAAGCTGAACCTGGCCTTTGTGGCCATCAGTAACAGGCCCGCACATGGGGCCAACCCCTGGGTTACCTCTCTGAGGTCCCCCTGAGAACAGGAGACTCCCATGCCACCTCACCATACCTCAGAGATACAATGCACAAGTTGACATTATCCATGTGGCAACTCCCAGCTCCCAGATGATGAAAAAGAAATGAGCAGGGAGGGGTGACATGCAAAAAAACGTCACTAAGTCATCCTGGTATATTTAGTCTTGGAAATGGAAGCAGTTTTACAGTTACATTTCTGCAGGACAACCAGAGGGTTTCAAAAGACCTTCAGTCAGTCTTGTGGTCTTCAAAGACTGAATGTAAAGAGAACAGATCGTATCGAATTTTTTCTGGGTGGTTACAGGCAGAATGGTGCGGTACAGGGGAAGGTGAATGCATAGGGGAGAAGGGAGCAGTGCCATTTATAGGAACATCCTTTGAATCTTTAAAATAAATGATACAGGTGAACACAGAAGTTCATGCTACTTGCTGGAAGCAATAAAGATCAAATTTTGTGGAACTCATTTTCCACCAATCTCCAGGTATCCTGCCTCGTCCTCTGTGGGCTATTCCATTCTGTTGTACATCTCGGTAGCCCTTAAAATCTGGTGGCATGGCCTCAGATGCTTGCAGGAGTGAGACAGATTTATGGATTCCATCAGCTTCTTCCAGGGGAGCTGCCCGATCGCCGGGAGGGCCCAGGTGATATGCTCGCTCAGGTTCTCTTTGCCCGTCTACCAGGGTCAAACAGTAGTTTCCAGGTCCTCATGGCCAATGATCTTATAGTTCTGACGGCTTTCTAGGTAAGCAGCCAAATCAGGGTCCCCAGCCTGCTGAGCTCTGTCTTGAGGTGTCTTACCCTGCAGGTAAAAAGGAAAGAAACACACACACACCTGGGATGAGATTTTTTTAAAGATCCACAGGAACAGAGATACTCAAAGATGACGCACTAATAAGGATATTTCCATGTTACCTATTTAGAGTTAACAAGACACTTTTCAAGCTATTATCTGATGGAAGCGAGATACATAAGCTCACGAGAAAGAGACCATCCTTGTGGACAGGTGGGGGTTCCCTCTAAGAAAGCATAGAGTCTAATCATAGGATCAGAGTCTACCTGAGTGCACAGCAGGAAACTTAGCACAGTGAGTTCTGGAGCCCAGACCCTCTCTGGAAGCAGGTGTAGAGAAATTACTCACTAGATAAACAGGGAAGCAGGCATTCGACGTCTAGGTTAGGACTCTTTCTGTTATACTAACTCTGGGAAGGGATGGTCATAACAATCTAAAAAGGTTTCTTTGCTGGTTTTCAAGATTCTCTCCCCTATTTATAACATTCTCATCTCTCCAAAGAGTGAGTTAATTTCTGACTATAAAATTGATGGGTGTTGATTAAAGAAATTTTGGAAAAGTAGAAGAGCATAAAAAAGAAATAAAAATATATTCCAGAACACTAAGATAACCATTGTTAACCTTCTGTGGAATAACTATTTTTCTTTTTCTATAGTTGTATACATAATTACTTTTATCAAAATTAAACCATATTTATATACTGTGGTTTAACATGCTTTTTCACTTAATAATATGTCAAACATTTTTATGTCATTCTTCTGCATCATGTTGAATGATTATATAATGTCTTGCAGCCTATTTTAATGCTATATGTGCATTTGTAAGTACACACACACACACAGACACACACACACGATATTTTTGAATGAGGCCAATGAATGGAAATCAGTAGTAAATAGAGGGAAGGTCTCATTCTTTTGAATGCTTCTGGATATTACTTGACACTCCTTGAAACTTCTAATTTTTGTTTAATAATATAGTCTTATCTATTTAAATAAGTGATATTAAGTTCTAAGGAAAAGGTAGAGGCATGATCATTGTACTAAGGAAATAGCTCTATGCATAAATGCACATAAGTATGACAAAAATTATCAAAAACTTCAGCCTTTAGATCAGTTAACATAATGGATAGTGTCAACCTCAATGAAGCCTGTTCCTAGTAGCTTCTAGGGGATGCAGGGCAGAGGATAAAAAGGAAATGATAGTGGCTCTGGGCTCTTTCTACAATTTTACTTTAGTTTGGATTTAATATTTATCCACTAGCTTAACATTACTATCATAATTTTATCCCACTTGTTTATGGTATTAATAGACTATCTTGTGCTTACTTCAATGTTAATGAAGTTGGAATTTCTATAGCTTCTAAATATTCAGGGAGATGGACAAGGGTGGGCCTTTGAGATTTTTTTAAGGAACTGTTCCCTATTAAGAGAAATTCTCAAGATATTGCTTCTCTCCAAAAAACCCCAGTAGATTCAGTCATGATGATCATATGTGATGCTCTCACCTAGCATCAAATTACAAAAATGGAAAAACAGAGGATCCCTGAAAAGGATGAAGAATAGGGATAGTACTTTGTATGGTAAGATCTCTAGAACAGAATGTTGGGTGTAAACTTAAGTCATACACTAGCATGTATAGTCTGACTTTATCAACTTAAAATAATGAGAGAGAAAAATAGACATACATGTGAAGTGAGATCATTAAAATTTTAATAACATATACGTCTAGAATGTAGAATTTTCTAGCTATTTCTACTTTCCTGTATTGTTTGCGCGGCTCGAGTTTTCTATGTGAGAACACACTCTATTTGTAATCACAAAAATAATACAGCTGTTTGTGTTTTGGAAAAATACACACACATACATAAAATAAAGTAGGAAGAAACCTCAAGGAACATGGAGCCCATTCATCTGATACAGAAACTTAGAAAGATGACACAGAGCAATCGGCTCAGGGGCCAGGTCTCCCGCCATCTTTTGTTTGTCCTCATCTACATATATTCAAATTCTTCTCTGCCACCCTCTGTGTTAAGTGGCTTGTCTTTCCTTGGAGTCTCCCCAGGGTGCTTGAAAATTCTCAGAGCTGACCAGGCTCCTCTACGGGGTTGATTGGTATTAACTCTGCTCTCTCTCACGGGCCGTATTCGTAGGTCAATGCTACTCCGCTATACCTCCTCCTTTACGCCAGCTCTCAGCACTTTCCTTGACTGCTCTCTGTAACTTGGAATGACTCATGGTGCAGCCTGACCTCCCATCTTGGAAGTGACTGGAAATCACTTTGGCACCCCAAAATGGGGCCACATAAATCACAGATTTTAAGCTACACTGGATTAAGCAGATGAAGGAGAAATCCCAAAGGGTCTTCTCCAAGGCTAGGTCAATGTCTGTGAACATAAGCCTGACCCCTCTCCCAGGGCTTTGGATCTCACCTCTCGGCAGCCTGGCTGCTGGCATCCGGCAGGAGGAGAACCCCAAATCCCAAGGCCAGCGCGTCCTTCAGAGGTTTATAAAGCCCCATAGGCGAGCACACACCCTCCCTTTGTGCTTATACATTTAAACTGCAGTTTCTCTAAATGAAGCACTTTATTTTTTCCTCCTTTTTCCAAAGCCCCCGGCACTTCCATAGGCACAGAAAGGATGCCTCTGCTGTGGGCATAAGTGAAGGCCACAGCGCCTGCGATGTTGCCCAGTGGGTGGATGTTTGCACTCACTCATCAAGTTACCTTGGAGTCCGTCTTTCTCAGAGATGCTCCTGCGTCCACCAGAAGCTGGCACACGGCCCGGTTCCGCTGGCAGGCAGCCTTGTGCAGTGCAGTCTCACCCCTAAATCAAAGATGAAATGGAAACCACCCATAAAGGGGCTGGGGGCCGGGGTGGGGGTGGAGGCTGCTGGGAGGGGGTGGTTTCATCCTACCCCTGCTGCTGATGTTCTTTCTCTGTCTGAGGCTGAGACCTGGCTGAAGGCAGGGCCCATTTGGGGGAGGTGGGGGAAGGGAGACTAAAGTGCCTTAAGTTAGTCATCCTGTAACCACAATATCTGACTCCAGCCTCTTTTTTAAACAGTGTTGGTTAATTCGGCCGAGCGATTTTGTTGTCAACTACTAATGTTTGATTTAGGCAGGACTCCATGGCACTGTTAGACTGATGTGTGCGGCTGTATCTGAACACTGGGAACAACACTCTGTATGGATACGCTGAGTGTGAGAGATGCTAGATGAAGCTCAGAGGGAACAGCGATGGGGAATCAGCGCCCCTCAGACCCATCACAGGAATAACTCTTGGGAACTCAACTGCAAGGAACCAGGCTAACACTCACTCTGGCCTACCTACTGGATTCAACTCCAGGGGCAGGTGGAAGTGGAGGGGCAGCCACAGGGGATCTGGGAGGCACAGGGGGACTTGGGGAGAGAGCTCAGAACTAGAGCTTTCCCCAGTCGGCAGCAGGCCCAAGACCAGCCAGCAGTCATTGAGGGAAGTGGGCATGAGAAAGTGGTTATTTCTGCTCCTTTAATAGTCAGAAAAGGAGGAGGATTTTTCCCATTTGGAATCCAAGGCTGAAAAGATACTTAATGCTAAAGTGTTTCGTGGAAAATCAAATGCAGACCTTAGAGCAGGGAACTGGGGTCAGTGGCGCCTGTCCTATGGAATGTGCAGTATGTGGACAAGCTCCGCATAGCAATGGGCAGTTTCTTCAGTGACGGGTAACTAACTCATGGCTACTCCCCTCCACCCCCGTCTTTCATTCTATTTATGTCTGTTTTTCCTTCACTATCCCCACTTTCGCTCCCTTCCCCATCCCACTCCAGCCCTGCCATTCTTTTTCTTCTTTTGAATTTCTTTGGAGTTCTCTAGTGCTTCTATATGGTTTTCAGGGTTAGATGCTTAGCCTTCTTTGTTCCTGTTTGGAGAATAGTAGCTATTTTGCTACCCTAGGGATGGGGGGAAGTTGAAAGAAAAAATTATCAGTTTGGGGATCATCCCAGATCCTCATCTGAACTGCAGAACATGAAAATGATTGGAGTTACCATATTCTCAGTTCTCAGGTGGCTGTATTATAGGCATTGTTCCATTCTAGACTTGGCAAAGAAGTTTCATTACATGCAAGAGAGCATTAGGGCTTAATTTTCTCACAAACCCCAGTTAACAAAGAGTTAAAAAAAAAAAAGCTAACTGTATTTTTTTAGACTTCTCAGCACCAGTGCAGAAGTATACTGCTTGTAGGAACCTCTAAACGATGAATCTCATCGACTGAGGGTGCAACCATTATGATACTTGCCATCAACTTTTATTGTGACTTTTATTTTTGATTTAGAAGATTAGCCCTGCACAGTTATAAATACAATAGAAAGTGGATGTTTTATCACTGACATGAAAATTATCTACTGTATGCTCTAGACATGGCATGTTTCTCCTAGATACGTTCTGAAGAATAATCTGGACTATGTAATAAAAGTGAGACTCACGTTTCGCTGTCTGCCATATCCAATAACTCGGAAGGTCCTAAACAGGAGGAAAGCGAGACATGCCCATCAAACATAAGTTTAAAAAAACTATTAATAAGAAAATCTATAGTCACAATGAAAATGCCTTGGAAAGCTGCATAAGAAAGAGCACTTGTGAGAGGGATAATGGGGCCTCCTCCTCCCCACCAATCTCCCAATCACCGCCAGCTGAGATGTGCAGAATGGGAGCCACAAAAGAGTGGCAGGGCCTCCGCCTTCCTTCCGGAAGCTTTCAATTGAGTCGAAGAAATAAAATCAACTGGAATAGACTAAGTGAGAAATAATTAAGTGGCTCCCTTGGGAGGAAGGGGACAATCAGCTGAGCTTTGTAGATTGTTTCTCATTCTCCAGTGGCAGGTAGTTTGGGATGGGGTCTTGTGCAATATAACAGTGAAGCGACAAGAGACAATAGATACCATGTGGTCCAATAGCCTTCTTTTAGAAATAGGGTGAAACTCTGTTTTTCACAAAATTTCCCTTCCAACACCTGGAAGAAATGTTCTGCATAAATATCAAATGATAGAAGCTTCATCATGAACTGATATGTTCTATGAGTTTGCACATTAGCAATGTTTTATATGTTCACTAATGAATTCATTCAGTCTGCACACACTGGTTGGAATGCCCACCTTCCCACTTGCAGCACCACTGACTTCCTCCCCAACTCTCCCTAAATCCCTTACCCTATGCAGCCTGCTGAGACCATTTCCTCCATGACGCCAACTATGACCCCACTCCAAATATTGCACCAAACGTTCTCCCTCACTTTATGCTTAGCCCTGTGTCCCATAATTGGGAAATTAATATAATGTATCCCATTGAGACTGTCCCAGACAAGTGTGGATATATAACATATAAACCATATTAAAATCGCTTGCTGATTTCTCTCTTCACAACTAGATTCTCATAAGCCCCTTGAGTTGGTGGCCTTGTGACTGGCATAGAGCCTGGTGCCAAGCAGGTGCCTAAATGTTTGGTTGAATGAATGAATCAAATGTACTTGAAAGTGGCAAACATGGTTCTAGGTGTTGAGCATTTTAGTCCTTAGAAATGTGATCCTGTTGATTTGCTCTCTGTGTTGTTGGATATCGTTATCATTGAAAATTTACTTATGTGATTACTTGCCACCTCATCAGAAGAAGGAGAAGAGGAGGTTAGGACTTTCTAACCATGAAGGTCATTGGGCAAGGAGAAGATGACAGGTGTGATGGGACTTTCACAAGTCACCCAAGAGCTACATCATCATCTTGGCTTCCTCTCTTTCACATCCATTGGTCGTCAAGGCCAGGCAAACCTTCCGACACCACGTCTGTCCTGTTTGTCTCCCTATTTGTCCTATTCCACAAACAGGCCTCCTCATAGGTCTCTGCCTGGAATATAATTAGCGTGAAGAAACGGTTACGAAGAAGACTAAAAAGCTCTTACGTTATTTAGATTTCCAGGTTTCCAATCTGTCATATTTATTGCTTACTTCCAAGTATTTAAACATTGAAGTTCATAGTCTTCACTTGGAACTACCTTTCCTCCATTTGTTCCCAATGTTCCAAAGTGGTCACTTCTCCATCACCCACATGTTTCTCAGGGCTTGTTCCCTTCCCTGTCCCTATTGAGAAGTCTTCCTTTTCTAGCCTCACACCTACATCTTAAAGGTTTGTAAAGCCTAGTCTCTGACAAGGCCTCTGAAAAAACCACCTTTGGCAGAAGGAATCTATCCCTTTTCTGAACTCTCGTAAAACTTACTTGGGTCTACCCTTGTACCATGTATTTGATTTTGTTGTTGTATGTCTTGTCCTCTTAAATCTATTCTTCTAAATCCCTTGAGTATAAGAATACTTTTACTTTTCACATTGCTTGAGAATCTACTTTACATTAAGGATTCAACAAAGATTTAACTCATTCATTTCTGTTCCTCAGTCCTGTGGTTCTAAGGAAAGGTGAATGATGACCCTCCCGCATCCCCCACCAAAGAAGTGCAAAGCAGCAGCGTGCAGTGGTCAGGATCAAAGGTTTACAATTCCAGCTCTGGCTGCCACTTAGTAGATCTTGGGCACTTTCATTTTATTTCTCACATGTAAAGAAAGACTGGTAATAATATGTATCTCATAGGAGTGCAGTGAGGTTTCAGAAGTTAATAAAAGTTATTTGCTTAAGACAGTAGCTGGCACACGACACACATGGCCTAAAGTTTGTGTCCTATTCTCTGACATGACACAGCAGGTCACACCACGTCAAGATGTTGGAACGTCAGTGAAGGAAAGCTATATAAAAGGGCCACTTCACTCCTACTTATATTAGTATATAGAGCCACCTGTGGACTAGAATTTTATGTCCTGAGAACCAAGGACTCCAGGCCTATTCAATTGCCAACAGGACACTTTCCACGAGGTCAGGAGCAGTGTTCTAAGGGTGTGTGCTTTTAAAGAACCCCTGTCACCTTCAGCAAACTTCTCAAGCCATCTATTTTTAAAGGACTCCTATGAACACAAGCCATCCAGCTTCAGTAGCAGTGTGTTCCCATCATTGCTGCGAATTGCATACTTAGGCCTTGCCCATTTCCCTCCTTATTCAGCACTCAGAGCTGAGACTATGATGGGTTAATGGCCTCTAGGGTCCCAGCCTCCATGCAAGAGACAGGACCCTGAGCAGTTTCATCTGCGCTAAAACTGCAACTATTTGGCACCCTGCAAGGGCGGACAAGGACGAGAAACGACCTTGTTCCTCACATTCTGACAAGAGTCGCCATACATGCAGCCAGCCCAGAGCCGGGCAGCCCATTCTGAGTAGGCTTGCCTGAGGCTGCTTGTCATTTTCCCTTTCTCCCCTCATCTTCTGTGGCTGATGGAGGTGCAAGAAAGAGGCACCGATGCTAAAACAAGATACATTTGTTCTTACTCAATATCTAAAGAAACCCCAGTTAGAGGTTTTGGGAATTTCTCTGGAATAATGAACTTAACCCAAACCTTCCTACTTCTCCCATCAACACACCTTCCCAGCATCGCAGAGAAACAAAAATAATCAAAACAGACCACAAAAGTTCTCCTGAAAAAAAGTAGATAATAAGAGCATCTGTGATTTTTGGAAAGTTAATTTGAGTCTCACTAATAAGGGAAAGAACAGGAGAAAGAGAGGAAATAATAGATACCAAAGGGGAACATATGGGTGTGGGTTTCTTTTGCATTTATGTGAACATATGTTCTGACTGTGGATACCATGCCGTCTCCCCTGAGGAATTTGGAGGAAAACCATTACATTGTCAGTAAAGAGCTCACAATTGTTCCCCGGATATAGAAGGGAACCTTGGCTCTCTGTCCCTCCCAGGGCTCACTACAATGTGCACACTCCATCCCATAGCTGATCTGCACCAGAAACAACTCTTAACCCTATTGAAGGAATATGGGGAAAATTTCCCCATGAAGTTTTGAGAGGGAGGCAATCACTGCCCTTCCACAGCCCTGCACCAGTTACCACTGGTACCCTGCACAGGACACTCACGTCAAACAACTCAGCATTGTGGTTGTTTGTCCATGTTTCACTGCCCTTTGCTGGGTCTTAGGAACATGGAGGGCAGAGACTACATCTTATATTATGTGTGAGTTTTGACAACTAACCAGATTTCACTATGCTTCAGTTTTTACCACCTGTCAAATAGAGATAAGAGAGCAAACTGTGTAGGGCTATTGTAAGAATGCAATGTGTTCATACATATAAAGCATCCTATATAATAAAAACCTAATTTGCAAATCAACCGAACGGCAGAATGATCGGTCGGCAGGGGGCAGGGCTGGTGAGTGGGCAGTGCCACGCCAGCCAAGGCGGGTGCCAGTGGACAGAGGGAGGGGACAGCAATTGGGGGGCGGGGGGCGGTGGCAGTGGTGGAGGGAGGCCACCGGCAGCAGTGGCGATTGGCCCAGGGGAGCAGGCCTAAGCTGTCAGTCGGACATCCCCCGAGAGCTCCTGGACTGCAAGAGGGTGTAGGCCGGGCTGAGGGACGCCCCCCCCCCCACCCCCCTGCAAGTGCAGGCGGTGGCAGTGGTGGAGGGAGGCCACCGGCAGCAGTGGCGATTGGCCCAGGGGAGCAGGCCTAAGCTGTCAGTCGGACATCCCCCGAGAGCTCCTGGACTGCAAGAGGGTGTAGGCCGGGCTGAGGGACGCCCCCCCCCACCCCCCTGCAAGTGCATGGATTTTCATAAACCAGGCCTCTAGTTTAGAATAATAAAGATCAGCAGTGATTGTTACTATAACATTTTTTTCTCAAGAGTGGGGAGGAGAGAATTAATTTTTCAAGTGAATGAATGAATAAATGATATTTTAAAATTAATGTGGATCCTAACCAAATTCTTGTTTCTTCTCAGAGCAAGATCCGTAAATGGAACATGGATTCAAGAGACTGTGCTTTATGGGAAATGGTCTGAAAAATGAGAGAAAGAAAAATATGGGGATAGCCATATCAGTGTTTACGGGTGAAGGCCAGGGAATAGGAAAGGAAGGAAAGCTTGCAGATCTCCCAACACAAGAATGTAAACTGCGTGGTGAGTAGTCAAACCTTCCAAAATGCAGGCCCGCTGCCCAGTGTCCACTCCATAGGCTCTTCCACTGCATACCCCGGTTCTTAGGGATGCAGCTTTATCCACATTGCACTTTATTATATATGATGTGGCTTTGTCACGTGCATCTTTTAATTTGCTTCCCACACCAAGGCATCCAAATCCCCTTTGCTATTCCTTCCACCTCCCCACGGCCTCTCTCTGTTCGGACCTCATTTCCCATTAGTCTCCCTGACGCTGCCAGCAGACCATTCCAAATCCTCCAGTGGCCCAGGACAAAAGCTGTGCAGATTTGGGGAGAGCTGGCACTGGGAACTCTAACAGCACCGTCATCCTGTCCCAGCGGGATGGTGGTCGTTTCTCTCGGGGAACCAGAGGCAGAAAAAGGGGGATAAAAAAAGAAAAGAAAGACTGAAGGCAGAAACAGAGGGAAGACAAAATAAGCCATTGAAATCAAAAAAGAAATGCATGAGTGAGATTTCTATCAGGAAACACGGTAGGGGGCAACAGGGTGGGAGTGGGGAGGAAAAAAACAAAACAAAAGAGCAAACATGTGCAGGGTGGTAAAAGACAAACCACACAAAAGTCCTTTCCAGGGTAAAACCAGGGAGGAGGGAGCGGGTTAAAAAGATGGTTGAAAGGAGTTGAAAAGCAGGAACCGCTGGGGGGATTCTCAGCTGGAATCCCTCTGCATCTTCCTCTCCCCACCCTGTCCCTTCCTCCTCCTCTTTTCAACCCTCCAAATGCCCAAATTCCAGTTTTTCATAAAGGAAAGCAGCATGTTGTGAATTTGAGACAAGAAGTCCCAAAGAAGATGCAGGAGGAAAAAATTCAAGCCTCCTGTGGTTTTTCAGAACATAGCACACATCACATGCCCCCAGGCCCCGGCCCGGTTTGAAAAGAGTCCTTAGAAGAGAAATACGTTGCTGAATGTGGTGGCTGGGAGCATAATCTCCCTGGAATCCTGTTCAGGGGCTGTCCTCCTGATGGGGGACCCCACGGCTCACCATAAATATCCAATGAAGAAGACACAGCAGAGGGGAGAGAAAGGACAAGTAAGCAAACAGGCCACATACAATTTCCATCATGTGCCTTGACAAGAAAGGGCCCCTGATTTCTCAGAAGCCTTGTCATTAAAGGCATCTTTATGGTCAGGTTTTTTTAAAAAACAGTTTTTAGGATTTAAAACTCATATGAAGCCACAGGAAAGGCTTGACCCAAATTAAAAACAAAAAAACCACTAAAACTTTAAGAGAGGTTCAGGCTTCAAGACTAGGAGGAGGGTTCCTCTTGATCTTTAGCACAGTGTAAAATCTTTCTTTGCTTTTAAAAGAAGTTTATGTGAATTCAAACTGCTCAGACCTATCTATAGAGCACAGAAAGGGCCAGGCTTCCCATGTACTTATCTCTGACTTCAGGAGCAGTATAATTTAAAGGGGTCTCTATCATTTATCATAGATGAGTCGTTCTGCAAAGATGATTTTCCCCGAATACACAGGTTAATACAGATTGTATCAGTAACTAAAAATATTAAAACAGACAACAATAAAAATAGACGAGCTGAAGTGCGTAGCTGTTAAGGAACCTGGTGAATTAGGCTGATTATGTCCAAGGATTTTTACATCCATACTCCTAAATAAACAGATTGAAGTTAAGCATGAAGTTGGCAATGCCTATCAGGTTGATGAATACTAAAATCAAGTGTGATACAGTTCCCACTATTTGGCTATCGTGCTAAAAGTTGAAAAATTGCCATTTATCAAAAAGGCAGTGATCCCTGGACTGTAAAGCATAATAATATTTTATTTTCAAACAGAAGGAATGGATTTGCTTCACTATCTCCACCGTCTTTCTCTCAGGTCCATCAGAGATCCTGGTGAAGCAGGGAGGGTATAAGATGTGACCATGGGAACTGTTTGCCTGTGAGTGACGTTGGGGTGATTACAGGAATCTGAAGTTTTTTCTCATGAGCACAACTATTAAAACAACTTGTTTACAAAATCTAACCAAGAGAACTGGAAAAATAAGCACTCTCCCCGAAGGAATTAATAAATTCCTTGGTGTCCTTCAGTTTTGATAGAGAGCTGCATCCTGTGATACAATCTTTGCAGCAGATACTGAAGGTGGAAGAGAAACTCCCTAAGTATCTAATGTCAGGCTTTGGTCAAAGCACTGAGACTGACATGCTAGCTGGACTTCATGCCAGGCAAAGCATGTGTGTACCTATTTCTCATTGGGCTTAGGAACTTCAACCCCTATGAGTGTGGGCTACAATGGGAAAAGTATTAGAGAAATACCATCTCTAGTCTCATCACTCATGCCCCTGGGAAGACTCAACTGAGGAGAGGGTTTTCGTTTGTTTTTAGTGTATGTATCAAATATTGCATGGGACATACCTATGCTAAAAAGGGGAGAAACTTGTTTAAGAACTTGTGATGTTAAAGAACTGTTATTGCTAAGCAACCTTAGGACCCAGAACCAAGGGAAATATAAAAGCTGAGCTCCAAGGATTTCAGGTAGATCAGTAGTTCAGGACATTGAGAAGGCAGGGTCATCATTTCCAGGTGAAGAAGATGGAGAACAGGGGAGGGTGGTAGATTAAATTAGGACACAATTGATTTGTAGCTCCTTCCATGAAGCAGTGGGCTCTATTCCCCCCTCCCTTTGTCGGGACCAGCTCTGTGACTTGTTTTGACTAACAGAATGCTGCAGAGGATGCAGAACTTTCCAGTCCGGCCTCAAGGTGTCCGGAAGCTTTCATTCTCTCCATTCTCTCCTCCTGAAACCCTAGGACCATCATGCTGTGAAGAAGCCTGAGATGAAAAACCAGGTACAGAGAAAGACTCAGATGTCCTGGCCATTCCAGCCACCCCAATGAGAGCCCCAAACATGTGACAGGGTCTCTCTCTTCTGTACAGATTCAGTCAAAATTGTAGCTGGTTACAGCCTCGTGAGTGAGAGACCCAGGGAGACGCCCACAGGTAACGGATACAGAGAAGAACCTGGAAGTAGGGGAAGTGCTAGTTCTTCAGGAGAGGTAAAGCAAGAGAGAGGGAGAGAGGGTTCCTAACCTGTGTTATCACTCAACTAGGTATCAGTGGCTCACCTAACTCCAGAGAGGGCACGTAAATATTGAGTAGCCTAAGCACTCAATCTCATTGGGTAAAGGGCAAACTAGAAAGAAATGATTGAGAATGATCTAGAAGACAGCAACTACAGCCAAGCCTGCATGGCTTAGAGGTTGTGTTGATCTATGAACCAGGGGGTCACAGTTTGATTCCCGGTCTGGGCTCTGGCGGCCTATGGATGATTTTCTCTCATCAATGATGTTTCTATTTCTCTCCCCCTTTCCCTTTCTCTCTGAAATTTATATTAAAAAAAGAAAGAAAATGAAAAACAAAAACAAAAACAAGATGGCAACCTTACAAGACCCTTGTAAAAAAAAATGAAAAAAATAATAAGATGGCAACCTTACAAGACCTTTGTAAAGATTCGATGATGTATTTAGTATAAGCATCTGGCATAGAAATGTGCTTGATAATGGTAACTGTGTTTTCTATTTGTAGCTTTGCAATATGACTTAAAACATCTATGCAACTATTTTAAATTTAATTATGCCTATGATGATGATATTTTTTTTCTTTAGCCTGCAATTGCTTGAAAACAGTGACTGTATTTTATTTGTATGTGTGTACTGGTCTACAACATGTAGTTCTTATTAGGCACTCCACAAATATTTTTTGAATGATTAACTGAATGAATGAATGAATGAATGAAATAAGATGTTTGCTAAATTGAATTAAAAGAAGAGCAGGAACAAGTGTGAATATCTACTATGCTTTCTATTTACAGCCCAAATTTGGATGCAAAGTGGGTTGGCCACAGGCTCACTGCTAGGGCTCACAGCAAAGCTTCCAGGATCTCTCAGAGCTAAAGACTATTCCACTCTCTCCTGTGAAAACAGTCAAGCCAGGCAGATCCCCCCCCACCCCCCCACCCCTTATTCCTGTTCTTTGTCCTAGAAACACTATAAACAAGGAAAGCTGTTACGAATGGTCAAGATGTGGTATTCAGCACATGTGTGTATCCCTCTGAAGGGCTTTTAGAGGAAAATGCTAAAAACTGCAAGCTGCTTCCAGCAAATGATATAACATCAAATTAGAGATGCAGGAGGAAGCTGCCCGGGAGGTGAGCATGTCCTGCCGCAGAGGATGTGAGGCTACCAGACGTTTCTGAGAGAATGAAGTGTGACTTGAGTTGAAAAGATGAATGAGATTCAAAGAGCAAAAAATAAATAAAAGACTAGAAAGACAGGATAAATACTCTCATTAATCCTGAGAATGATTGGCTACAAATATAGATTAGATACTTGTCCCAACCAGTTAACTTCCCAAAACATAAAAGATCTTCCCCAAACAATAAAGCATATTATCCAGGCTGCATTGGTTTTTGTACATTATTTTTTTAATGAATACACCCCCAAGTACCCTGTAATGATCTTGATATGAAAATTATTTCTACTCATTGACTGGCTAAGAGTACCCCATGGCTGAGTGGTCTACTACAATCCCGCTGTCTCAAATAATCAGAGAGAGTCAGCTAGAAGTTGGAGAGCATTTCCACCATTCTGAAGACGGCCTGGGTGGAAGTCAACTTACTAATTCAATCTGTTTCCTGGGTAAGTGATCTTGTGCCTACTCACCGTGATCAAGGATATATTTCACAATTTCCCCGTTGCCGGTTTTAGCTGCATGGTGAAGGAGTGAACAGTGGTCTGGTCCCTGAATTAGCAGACTGCCTCCATTTTTATAGCTTTCTATTAGCTGAAAAAGAGACAGATAAAAAGAAGCTCAGACTGAGGCCGGAACAAGGGAAACAGCTCACTGGTGATAAAATAAGAACAATGCAGCAAACCACAAATGTTTCTAGCCTCAGAGGACACAGAAACGTCAGAGAGATGAAGTAATCTTCCTCGATTGTGTGATAACTCAAATAGATGGCCAGTGTCTCACTAACTCCTGAGAGGGCATATGGGTGTTGAACATCCTAAGAAAACTGAAATATAACGAATCACTTATTTATTTTCCTGTGTGTTTTTTTCTTCTTTCTTTTTCTTGTCTGGGCACTGGTGCCTGTTCCAAGGGAGTGGAGGGTGGAGAAGAGAATAAGTTTTCCTACTTTGGCTCAGCTTTTTCTTGAGCGAAAGAATAATTATAGGCAGGATTAGTGTGGTGTCTGGTAGGAAACTCCTTTCCTGTCCCTCAGTTTTTCTTTAATCTCTAATAAACCTAGCTCCATAGAAGCTTCTTTCCATTTCCCTGTGAGAGATCACTGCACGCGAGCACACAGCATACACACACGCACACACAGGTATAGCTCCCTTCTTCATCCAGGTCTGCAGCCGAGCCTGCATGCATTCTGTTAATCACCCAACACCTACTCAACAAGGCTAGAGGTGATCTGCAGGATGAGAAAACGATTCAGAGAAAATAGTAGTAGAAACTCAAAATACCTAAAATATGAAACAGACTAGGGGAAAAAACAGATTTTGTATCTTGAGAATAAGGTAGCTAATGAGGACACAGTCTAAGTTTATGAAATATTAAACATTATAGAAAGTGTAAATGGGTCCCTATTCTCTAAACTATGAGATATCAGGATAAAAAGAGCCTCTTGGAGCTTCTAAAATGTAGTTTTAGGACAAATGCCAAACAAATAACCCAGCAGGCAATAAGCAAAAGGAATGTGTCTACCACCAAGAAGTTAGATGGCATATTATAAAAAAATCAACATCTCCTACGGTTCAAAGTTCAAGCTTCTACTCAGATGCAGCCATAGCATTGTCATGTGTCAGATGCCAGGGAAGCAGATGAAGACAACACAGCCACTGGCCTCAAAGACCTCACAGTCCATGGGAGAGACAGATGTGGAAAGAATTATACCGGAATGGGGAGGACCATGATGGGCTACCATGGGGCACCAGGAAAGCATGAAGTGGGGGATGGAAGACGTCCTAGGAAATAGATTCAAAAAAGAGTAGTTGAATGGAAATCAGGAACTTTCACCCTACACAAGGGCAGTAGGAAGAAGCAGCTAATAGTTTTCTGGTTAAGAGAAAACTAAGAGAATCCTGTTCTGTTTCACTGCATTGTCTCACAGTGACAGTCCCTTCCCTGGAACAGGTCCACAAGGGATTCTGCTCAACAGAGTAGCACAGACCCAATCCATCAGCTGCCTTGATTCTGCCTTTCTGTGGTGTTTTTAGACACTGAGCAGTAAGTTAGTCCTTGGGCATCTCATGCAGCCCAGCTGCTCAAGACAGCTTTCCCACTGGGATGGCTCCTGGGGTCTTTTGTTTTCTGCTGATTTGTGCATTCTCTCTCTCTCTCTCTCTCTCTCTCTCTCTCTCTCTCACACACACACACACACACACACACACACACACACACACAGCCAGTTTAATATTTAATATTGATTTTGCTTTCTACATGGAATAGAAAAATGAAAGAAAATGGAGAAGAAAAAATGGGAGAAGAAAAATACTAGGAAAAAAGTAAGAAAGAAAAAGAAAAGAGTAAAAAAAAAAAAACAACCCACCTAACTCCCCTATATTTCATCTCTCAGAAACAAGGTATTCTTGCATTCTTTCTTAGCCATTTTGGAAATAATTGCAAAGATAATATAATAAGACAACTGGCTGAATATAGTTATTTCCTATATCTCAAATAATTCTCTATGAAGTACAAAATATTGTGGCGATATACCCACAGACCTGGAAAATTCATTGCCTAGACTAAAATCACGTACAAAATAAAATGAAAAGGTTTCAAATGCACCATTTCCAGGATTACATGTTGAAAGATGGCTGTTTATCAAGATGCTTGCAACTGTCTCACCAACTGTTTTCTGCTAGTGACCTGTTAAAAATGGAGCAGAGGGCCAGGCTGTCATAGCTCAGTGGTTGAAGCATCGACCTATGAACCAGGAGGTCAAGGTTTGATTCCCCGTCAGGACACATGCTCCAGGTGCGGGCTTGATCCCCAGTAGGGGGCGTGCAGCAGGCAGCCGACCATTCTCTCTCGTTGATATTTCTATCCTTCTCCCTTCCTCTTTCTCTAAAATCAGTAAAAACCTATTTTAAAAAATAAATGGAGCACAGAGGGTCTCAGTTTATTTGACAGTTGTGCCTCAGAAGAAACTGTATTCAATGGCAGTGCTTCTTAGCTTTCTTTAAGGCTTTTGGTTTCTGGATCTGCAATGGCACCATCCTCCACAGGCTGGTGAGGAAGGCATAGCCTGGGCCCTTAGGGAGCTGCCCATATTACAGAGCCGATCAATGCCAGTGTGAGCTTTACAAGGATAGATGGGCAGTCATAAGTACCAATGCCTGAAAAGGATATGGGACCAACGATAGCTTTTAGAATAGTTATAAACTGTATTATACTTTATAACAAATATTTACATTTCTACTATGTCTAGCTCTTAAAAATACACAGACTAACACTATGCTAATAAAATAGCCAACACTTTAGAGTCCTTTCTATGTAATAGGAATAGTCAAGAGCTTTACTTGTCTTATTACATTTGATCCTCACAAAGTGAAGCGAGAGGCAATGCTATTATTCCATTTTAGAGATGATGAAACTGAGGTACAAAGACAAATAATTGTTCAAAATCATGCATATAGGGAATGGCAGGGCCGAGATCTGAACCCTGGCGGTCTGACTTCAGAATTGGCATTCACTCTAGAGGTAGTGGTGGACACTTCCTTCCCTCTGAATTAAAATTCACCAGAAAGCAAAAGAACAAATTAAACTGTTTTGGTTTACCATGATTCCCAAAATACAAAACTGTAATAATGTTGGAAGACATAGGCTCTGGCCTGAGGAATGTATTTCTGGTTGTTGACCAGATAATTCTTACACATGCATTTATTTCAAGACCTGTCTAAAAAGAAATCTTTAAACTTCCAATATCAGCTTTCAGAGAACAGGAATTCTGGGCACTGTGAGCACTGTATCCTGGGGACATGCAGTCCATTTTTACTAGTGAAGGCAAATTGCATGGTTATCTTACAGAAACCTTTTGCTGTTAGGAAGCATGGAGATGCTGGGAAGACTCCCCTAATCCTCTCTGTTTAATTCTCAAAAAAAAAAAAAGCATCCTTCCTCTTTCTACTCAGCCAGCACAGGCAGGGGGTCTGATAAATGACATATGGGCTCATGAAAGTTTGGTGTGAAATGATGTTGACTTAAAGTTCTTAAAAATCAGCAAAAAAATTTGGTAGGAAGATGTCTTACCTTCATAAGATCACCAGTTATTACTGCCTGCAAAATTGCTGTGAAAGACAAAAGAGAGATGTCTCATTAGTAGAAGACCCTCTCCTTAAAATACTGAAAAGGTCTGGATCCATATTTCGCATACATAGTCTACAGTGGAGGCAGGGACCAGGGAAGGAGAAACATGCCAAAGGTTGAATCTTGGAATAGACTAAGGTCTTCTTTGCAGCCCTTCCCTACCTGCGCCCCATCCCCTGTATAATTCTAGAGCCTACCAGAGTCCCCTCTGGCCCTGGTACAACAAAGAGAACATGAAATTTGGAGTCACACAGATTGGGTTCAGATCTTAACTCTGACACAAGCTGTGGAACACTGAGTGAACCATTTAACCTCTCTGAACCTCAGTTTCCACATCTGTAAAACAGCAAGTCTAAATTTTGTAGGAATCCTGAAGGGATCAACTAAATCATATAAACATTTCTAACTCATCCACTGATGCCTAATCATCATTGGTTTTTGTTCCCCTCTTTCCATTTCCTTCCACTCTGTCCTCTTGGGGTTCAAAAAATCACCAGTAATTTGTTGGTGTGTTTTGTAATGATAAATAAATACCCACTGCTATGGAAATAAAGGGGACTAGAAAGAGTGAAGAGGAACCACATATATTTTAATTATGTTTTGAAGAAAATAGTCATGTGTTAAGCATCTAATTCAATGGTGACTCTTACAGAAAGAATTCTAAAAGTCTTGGTTAACCTGAACTAATTGTCCTTGGAGGAAAAAGAGAAGAGTATGTGCATGTCATGTGGGGCGTAGAAGAGGAATGAGAAAATATGACTGATAAAAGAGGAACAGAATATACCTATGTCTAAAGGCAATTATGGTTTCTAGAGGGATTATATGCAATAGGTTGGAAATGGTGGCTTTCGAAATATAAATACCTAAAACTACACCAAAGATAGATTATTTTAGGCTTTAATGTCACAAAAATTTAGAAGAAAATAATGTATTTTTCAAAGTGTCAATATGTTGTTCTTGTTTGAGTAGTCTCATTATAGGGTTAGCCAACAATTCAGTATCATGCATCAAAGTACATGGAGCCTTTGACAGGCCCTGAGCAAAGCCCTCCAAACTTCCATACGAGCATTTACGAGCCCTGAGGGACCAGAAGCAAAGGACCATAGGCATGTTAAACTCATTCACTGGCCCACGACGCAGTGCCTTCCCTCTGATCAAAGCAGAAGCCTTGAAAACCCACGGAAATGATGAGGGCTGCTTGAACACGGAGGAAGAAGGAAGAAGAAAGAATAGAGGAAAAGGGGGGAACAGGAAAGAGAGGGAAGAATGTTTCCATAACAAGCTGTAAGCAACATACTCATTCCATCTCCCTAAGGCACATGCACAATGCTGTGTACATCTCAATGCACAACAGTTAGTTGTTGGACGGGCTGAAAAGATGGCAAAGAGAAAGGAGAAAAGGAGAGAGATAAAAATAAGACAACAGGAGTTAATAAAATATTAGGTCAAAAGAACCTAAGAAAATGTGTCTCATTCTTCATATTATGGATGAACACTGGGGTTCAGAGTAAAGTGACTCTCTTGGGGCACAGAGCTAGTGGTCGTCCAGTCATCACCATCATGCAGGTCCCTGTGTCCAGTCCAGGTCTCTATCTAGTGCCCTCTGTGAGCTCACAATGCAAGGTCTACTAGAGGCGTATAGAAAATAGAAGAAAATAGTCTCTATAGGTTATAAAGCTTATAGTGTTGTGGAAAAGGCACTGGATTGGAGTCTTAATTCTAATATCTTTAATTTACTAGATAAGTTTAACAGCTGTCCTGCTCATCTCTCTGTAGTAGGGATAAAACCAACAAAAAAGCTTTATAAATAGATATGTAATATTACCAGAGGGGTAGCTTTCAGGACTTTTGAGACTATACATGAAAATGGCATGCAAACACTTCAGAAAGGAGCCTAGCAACAGGGTAAAATTGTTGTGTGGAGTCAAGCAGACATAGCTCTGTTAATACAGTGCCCATCAGGTGAAGGCACAGCTGAAGGAGCCAAAGGGACGCTGTGTAACTCCAAGATGTAAAGCCTACCTCAGAGGCAGGGAGGGAGAGGCCGAAGAAAATATTAGTGATTGAAAGTATAAGAAAACAAATCAGCTTGGACTTTTATGCTACAGGATGCTCTCTTCACTGAAGTAGATTACCCATATTAGGAAAGAATTGAGGTAAGGGAAATTGCCAGAGCGGGCAGTTAATGCAGAGCTGAAACTCACACACTTGTTCAAAGCTGCATACAGACTATGGTTTTCAAGATCATATTAAAACCTTTCCCAGAAATTAAAAGAAAAAAAAGAGAGAAATAGAGGAAAAAAGTAATAAAGGAGAGAGAAAAGAAAAATGAATTCATTAACTTAAAGCACTTGTGTAATAAAATTTGGTGTAAGTAATAAATCAAGACAATGAAGGAATTCCCCAGGACCAAGTCTATTTAAGTAAAAAGTAAACGGAAGGAAGGAAGAAAGGGTGGAAGAAAGGGAGGGGAGGAGGAAGGAAAGGGGGGAGGGAGGAAAGGATGGAGGAAAGAAGAGAGGAAGGAAGGAAGGAAGGAAGGATGGAAGGGAAGGAAGGAAGGAAGGAAGGAAGGAAGGGGAAGTAGGAGGGGGATTTATTGGCTAACTTTGGAGTTCAAAAAGAGTTTCTTAGATGAAGTAAAGCTTAAGCCAACTCTTCCATGATAAGTAGAAGTAATTAGCAAAGGAGGTTTGGAAAATTCTTGCAAAATAAAGGTAGGATATGAACAAAGACCTGGAAGTTACAAGTCATGGTGTCTGAGGGAACCTGCAAAGAGCTGCATGTGAGCACGTCTGAGGTGGAGAGTGGTCTCAGGCCATGGGCCACAGTCGCAGGGACCACTCCAGTGAGCACCATTTATGTCAGGAGAAGGCACTTGGACTTTATCTCAGGGATGAGACGCTATTGAAGAGTTAAAAGTACATGAATGTTCTTAACCATGCCAGTATGACTCTGCTCCTCCCCTCCTAGAAACCTGCTCTCAGCTCATGTTCTCCAGATTGCCCACATTATAGTCCCCTTCAGTTTCTACCCCAGACTCATCACAAGCATTGTGATTTATGTCTGTTCATTTCCAACAGCCTCCCAGCTTAAAGTCCACACGAGCAGGTAGAAGATCATATAACAGAATCATAACCACGAATAATTTCCAATTGCACTGGAGATAGAAAGCATGAATATTTATTTTAAGTCAAGCAATACACCCAAGGGTAGCTATTATGCAAACATTATTAAGCACAAGGCCCACTTCTCTCTCCTGATTAATGTCCTTCCCCATGAACACTGTTGTTGAAAATTTCCTCTGCATAAAGAAAGCCTGAATCCATTAGTCGCAACTCCAGATAATAACCTTCTGAAAGATCGAGCTCAAAAACAAATAATTGAGTTGTTCTGATTATAGTATTATCCCTTATTATTTCTTGAGCTCTGAGCTTGCCTTCTTGCCTTTTTTAAAACTCCTTTACACTGAAGAAGCAATGCCCCAAGTGCATAGAAGCAAAAGAAGTCAAATTATTAACGGAACAAAAGGTTGATAAGTAAATGAATAAATTCCTGGACAATTAACGTCACATAAACTTACGTAGTTAGACAGAAATGTAAGGGGGTAGAGAACTGAGAACTGTGTCATTTTTAGAGGTTAGAAGTTGAATCATTAGTTCACATGAAATGATTTCTTTTTGCTTCAGTGCTATGCCTTCCCAAAAATGGCTATCCAGTAAACATCTCAAGGCAGAATACTAGAACTGAGAAGTCCAGATGGCCAGGAAGGAATCTGTTTTCAGTCTCTGTTCCTGAGACCTGGATTCCCCAGAGTCAAGACATCCTCAGACATCCATGCATGGAAGAAAAAAATGGCCTCTCCCCTGGAATCAGTGTAGGGACAAACCAGTCCACAGGGCCACTGGCTGGCCTGCCTGCTCCCGCCAAGCCAAACCCTGTCAAGGATGTGGAAATACAGTGGGGCCTTGACTTACGAGTGTCCCGACTAACGAGTTTTTCCAGATACGAGCTGTCTCTCAGCCGATTTTTTGCTTTGAGTTTCGAGCTAAAATTCGGGTTATGAGCCAGCTTCAGATACCCCACCGCTAGTTGGCGCAGCGAACGTCACAGTGAACGCCACAACATCAGCCCAGCATCAGGTGTCTCACTCGTTCACTTTAATGATTTGACATACGAGTAATTTGAGTTACGAGCTCGGTCACGGAACGAATTAAACTCGTAAGTCAAGGCCCCACTGTATAACTACAAAATACACGTCATCCTCTCAGGGAACTGACATTTTGGCAAGAAATCCAAACTAGGAAGGGATATATTGTAATTGAATCTAGACTTATACTGACTGAGTTTAAGCCATTAACTAGATATAACCTTGGGTCAGTTACCAAGCTTCAGTTCTCTTATTAGGAAAATGGAGATCAAGTGGGTTCTTTTGAGCCTCTGCCTTGCAAATAAGCTCAAGGAACAGAGAATCTGACCATTACAGTCTTCTGTGTAGAACACCATGGAACGCTGATTTTTTAACCCCATTACACTGAGAAAGCACCGTTTTGCATCTGTGAGATGAGGTTAGACGAAGACCAATTACAGCTCTAGAATTTGGCGTAGGACTACTTCCAGAGGGATAGTTTACAGCTGTGATTCTTGCTTTGCAGATGAAAATATTTAAAAACAAAACATACACAGAACTTGGCAAAGCCACAAATATGTTTGTAATTCTCAATAAATCAACTGAAATAACTACATTATTATATATCAAATAGAGTTTCAATAAAATAGAGTCTATTGAAAAATTTTAATCTTTCAGGTTCAGTTACTTTCAAATTTTTAAATAATTTTATTGCCAAATTATCTTCTCCTAATGACAGAAATCACCAAAATATATATTTTTTTTAATTCTGGAAAAAATTAAAAGTAAAAACAAAAACCATTGAACAAAGAGAGGCTTGTGGAGACTCAGGGGGCAAGATCAGTTGACTCA